GCCATACTAATTGAATAAATGAATGAATGAATGAATGAATGAATGAATGAAGGAAGGAAGGAAGGAAGGAAGGAAGGAAGGAAGGAAGGAAGATCCCTTAAAATAAATAGTTCTGTATTAAAGACAAAGTCTAGGATGAGACATTTTAATATGCAGATATGGTTATTATGCTTAGTAAGTGACTTGGCCATAACATTCCAGTTTGGTAAATCTAACCTTATTGCAAAGTAGGTCATTTGGATGAGTTCCCACATTTAATAGAATAAGATTTTTCAAAAAGTGTAAAGCAAGGAAAGAAAATATCTCAGTAAAGTTACGTAATTGTGGCTTTTTTTCCATTCAGTATTCCCTATTTGATATTTATTCTAAGATGACATCTAATTTAATATTAGGATTCCTACAACGATTCAATTGTGGTACATATGAAAGCCCTGTTCAATATAACATAATGTGCACTGAATACAGGCAATGGAGTGCTATATATTTAAAATACAAAGCTGGAGTTTATTTAACTTGGCTGATTGACTGACAACGTATAATACTAGAAACAGATTCGTACATCCTTTGTAGTCATAATCCTGAGACATAGATTATCATATAAGACCCCTAATGTGTGATCTATATAGCTTGTGGAATTAGGCCACAGATAGCATTTATAGTTTGCCTGAGGTTTTCATCCATAACAAATCCCAAAGACATTTGCAAGAGGTATTTTTAGCTGTCACTTTGACTAACCATCTGTGCTTTTACTGAAGAATATGCATGGTTAGAAGTGAACAAATAATGCTAAACAATTCTAACTTTTAAATCACAAATACAATTACTGGGGTACATATGTCACCGAAACATATTTTGTTTATGTCTGTTGCCAAATCAGTACTATTTATTTGAAAGAATGCATGTAAAATGAGAAAATCTGGATTAAAATTTCAGTGATTTTGCTGTGCTAAATATTTGTAAGGTTAAGCGATATTATATAGGGAATGACTCTGCTTCAACGAACCTATCTGGGGTTTCACTGTTTGTCATACAACTCATTAGTAAGTAATCTGGAGTTTAGAACCATTTAGCTAATTTAAACACACGATGTTGTGGTTTTATTAATGCATTATCTTGGAAAATGGATTTGGTTTTCTAAGCTGGGCTCTCCTGTCCACCTTTCATAAACACTGTTCTCACTTTGAGAACAGAGACAAGTTCTTATTTTCAAATATGGTTTATATACCCATGAAATACCCATGAAGACCTGAGGCACTGGTTTTGAACCAACTGAAATTTTCAGGTGATTCAAAAGAACGCCATGTAAAGTGTGCTGCAGTAGTCTATATGTATGTCATAGTATATACTGTATAGTTGAGTATAGCATCCAGAATATTGCTAAAATGATGATGGCTCTTGTGAGCCATATGATAATACAGGGTTTCTATATTTATGGCTACTTGACAAATTTCTTATCAGAATGCTCCCCCCCCCATTTTTGGGGAAATAGCTTTAACCTAATATTTCACTGTCATTACTTTGTAATGAATGTATCAAATAGCACACTAACTCCTTATTTTGCACATGAGCATTGACAGTGATAGAGGTTCCAGGTCCTAGAAATGTACTTCAAGCTTCAAAAGGAATGTGGAATTATTACTAATTTCAGTCTTTATGAAATTAGCTTTATACATTATAGGATTACAGCACTGGATTCTGTCCAGTGGATCCATTTCCACTCCAGATTGCTATGCTGACTGGCTTTTTTTGCTTCAGTATCAGATGGCAGCATGAGTATCAGATTACCAGCAATTTTGTCTTGTTTGTAATAATGGAGAGAAAAGGAATTCACTCTTTGCACTTGTGATTGCTCCCAACTAACTTGGCATGAGAAATGTCAGTTAAAAAGCTAGTCAAAGAGCTGACTATCATAAATGCTAACTAGCCAAATTGATGAAAATATTTCCAAAACACATTAGCGCAGGATTTCATTGTGAGGCAGCACTGCTGTTTAATCAGCTGGAGTTAAGACACATTACTGGCCTTGAAAGATCAGGTATGAGCAACTGATGTGAACTGACAGTGTTACAACAAAGTCCACGTAAATCATCAGGACATACCCAGATTCAGATCAATTAGCCATCAGAAGGAGATCATGGCCTGGAGACTGGACAGGAGCAACTAAAAAGGAGATTCTAGTGAACTGTTTAAGCTCCTGTCAGCTCTTTCTCTAATGACTGAGAATGACATTTAGTCTTACCACTGTGGTACTTAGAAAATGTCCTTGACAGATACCGCCATCTAAGCGTGGGAGTTCCTTAAGGGAGAATTCAAGCAGCCAGCCCAAGGTTTAAGATATGAACTAAGTTATGCCATCATATTCTGTTCTGGTTCAATGTTTGTTTGAGGATTTGGGCTATTACATGTGTTATTACAGCAAAATATGCAGGAAAGTTATTTTATATGCACATAGTCATGTGACCTAATGGAAGATATTTCCTTCAGTAAGAAAGATAAAGTTTCTGACTAGTAGAAAAGATTATTTCTCTTTTGGTGATCAGGATGGTAATTCTTGGTACATTTATACGAGTCAGTCCTTGCCTCAAAGCTGAATTTATGTAAAGGTCTTTGCCTCATGACTTCCTATTACACTAATTCAGTAACAGTAGCACTTAAGACTTGTATGAGCTTTGTCTGATTATGAATTGACTGATAAAATTCTCAGATAATTTCTTTGAACCCCATTCTTCAAAAACCGATTAACTGTTCGATGTCTGTGCTGATAGAAATGGCCTGCTTTGCTTCCTAAATTTAATCAACCTCATTGTATTCTTTGCCTTGAAAAGCTATAATTTACCTCTTTCCTTGGGTATGAAACAGACGACTTAGTATAAGATTTAGTGTACAATTTCTTGCCTGCTGGCATAGTGAATGGATGTAACTACTATATAATTTGGAAGCCTCAAATTGCTTCTTTGATACAGAAGAGAATATTTTATTGTATTGTTGAAGGTGGACAGATGCTACTTCCAATGTAGTTCTGTATTCTGTTTTTTAAAAAGGCAATCAGACCACTATTTCAGAACAGGGTTCCAATACTGAAAAAGTTATAATAAATAGCTAATAACAAATAGTATGATGCTTTGAGCATCATACAAGAACTAGAAGGGGACGAGGTATGAAGGATTATGAAATAATATTGTATTCATTTGTACCAATGTCACGGATTCATTCCCCCCTCCCTTCTCTCCTCAGCAACTTTGAATGTCCCTTGATGTATGAAATTTCGCACCACGGTGGCAGAGATAATAGTGTCAGAAGTTCGGTCACAGCATGTAAGAAGGTACCGTAATTCCTTTTTGAAGTTGTTTTAGTCAGCAATTCAGTTATGCTGTTTACCCATTAGTTCAATAATATTTGAAATGCACTCAAGGTAAATAACTAAATGATGAAAAATATTAATATCTGGAAGCAATCAATTGACCAATCATTTGCTGAAAAATAGTTACATATTCTAAAAACATACTTGTTCAGTTTTTATTATACAGTAAAATAGTTCTTAGCCTATAAAAAGAATGGCTTATAACAATAAGTGCGTTAAACACAACAGGGCTTGGAATAATGGGTACAAATTTCACATTACTGGAATTATGGAATGAACATAAGGAAGGACAGAAAGAGTTGGATCCAAATATAGCATTAAGAAATGAGTTTTTAATGTTAGCTTATTGAGAAACTATTAAACTATCCAAAATGAAATCAGGATCCCAATTTATTCCAGAAAGACTTAGGTGTGGGCACAGGGTTCATCCATCCAGAAATCACTGCCAAATATTAAAAGAAGAAAAAATATTATTATTGTTTTAATAATGGGGTGGAATATTCTAGTCCAGATCTATATGCATCAAGTACTGAAATTGCCTGCAAAGGATTATATGATAATGTGTTCCTTTTACACAATGACTGATATGGCTGTCAGTTTTAAAAGTGCCTGCAAAATCTCTTCAAGAAGGAATCCAGGTCCCAGGTTTAGATCTACTTATGTCTAAAAAGGCAATTGTTACTTATATATAATTTTCCTAAACATTAATATTAAACTGAAAAGTAACACATACTGAGTACCCACATTTCTTACTACTTTGATTGATCAAAGTTCATGTTTGGGTATATTTTGATCACAATATCTCATATATCTTCCTACAATTACAAGAAAAGCTAATCAACTTGACATGCACCTTTGACGATAAATGGTTAACAATTTTATCAAAGTGAGATCCCTGGCTTGCTTATGTTTTGAGAGGGATCCTGATTTGAATGAAATAATAATAACACCATAGATAAAGAAAACGTCATTTCTTCTGTTGCTTATATTAGTAGGAGAAACCAATTAAAAACAATTGAAAGATGAACACTAGTACATTTGCTTGTTAATGATTACTCCAGAACTTCGACGAAATTTATGAAGCTTTCCAAAATGGACTTTTCATTCTGCCTGAAAAAAATATGAACATATTATCTTTTAAGGATCCATAGATATCTTGCAAAGAGAGAAATAGCTAAGATTCTTGTTTATGCAGTATGTTACATATATTTCCTATTTTACTGGGGTACATTATAACTAAACAAAATTTTGCCCAGTGACGATCCTTGGTTTTAGAACATTGTAAATACCTTCAAATTCCTATCAAATATATTGATATCTAGATTTGTGGTCAGCAGAAATCACAGAACTGATTCCCAGATTATTATTTTTTTACTTTTCAGAATGCAGTACGGCTGAAAACAAAGACATATAGAAGCATTACTGCACATTGTTTTATTTGAATTTCTCCCATTGCCTGGGAGTTGAGTACATGGCACATGAGTTGAGTGTGTGGGGAGTATAAAGAGAATATTAAATGAGAGAAAGGGGTGGAGAGAGACTGAAAGAAGATATCTCTCTTTACAAGATATCTATGGATTCTTAAAAGATAATAGAGGGGAAGTTGTCTAAACCACACTGTCATAGTTACAATATGTAGACCTGGTACAATCTCTCATCATACTTGGCTGTCAGGGCAAAAGATTCCTAACTCTTGGTCTAGGTTTTTACTGCAGTTTTTTTTTACTATCTGTAATTTGTAAGGCATATTTTATTCCACCAAACTATGATTCACTTCCATTTTGACAACAATCTCATATAATTAAAAACACTTATTATAAGATGAGTTAATAAGGAAAACATCACTGAGCCCTGTTCATAAGCCACCACAGTCCATCTCCTGATCCCACACATTATGTTAACATAATTGATTTTTTTAAAATGAAACTTTATTGTCAGCTGTTAGGCTGAACCAAGAAGAATAATATTAGCATTCCCTTCAATTTGCTTTATGTTTGTTCAGTTATTCCTGACATGAGCAAAAACTCATAGTGTATGAGATGCCAAATATTATTTCACTGACTCGTTTTAGAAAATGCATGTGGAATAAGCCCCTAAAGCCTCATCCTGTTTTGCATGTTCTTTGCCATCTCTTTTTGATGAGCTGTAATTAAGCACTGCAATTAAGATGATCAAGCAAGAATCTCATGTGTGAAGAGAATGTCTATAGGGATGTATCCAATTATGCGTTAAATATATTAGTCATATAACTATCTTAAAGAATGAAGTGGATGTTCTGAATTTATAGTCTGTGCACTATTAGACAGTGTCTCAATTTCCTGATTTACAATTGACAATATAAACCATAATAGAGACAAATTAGACTATATGGAAATTTCTATTTAAAATTTGTCAATTAGAATTAAGGCACTCATTTTTATCTTATTTTCACTGAACAATCATGAAGTTTCAGTTTTGTATATGTGGAATATGACTTAGATCCATTTGTAGATTTGCTGAGAAGATGAAAAAATGGTATTTTAATCACATAATTTTATTAGTTCAAGATGTCCTTGAATGTTTTGGGAATCATGTATCAGTCCCCAAATACATCATATATTAGATTGGGGATCAAGAGCTACATCACAGAATAGCTAGGGCTAATATAACTTCCTTTGACATGTAAATTAAATTAAAATACCACCAACCAACAAAGAGGAGTTTGAACTCCTCTCATATTAAAAATCATATTGTGAGAGCAAGAAAACTGAAAGCGAATGCTTCTTAGATGATAAGCTAGTTTGAGTAAAAACAGCTCAGGTTTTGATGGTTTAATTAAAATGTTGCAATGATTGAAGTTGTTAGAATAGGGAAGAATTAAATTGTTTGGTCTGAAAAAAGATACTTTATCTGGATTATTGTATTCCAAAATAATTGGTCTACCACAATGGCTTCTTTTGAAAAATACTTCATTATTGATACCTTTCAAAACATGATGGAGTTGTGTGGTCATGTGATCAAGAACAAACCTACAGTACATATTCAAGATATAATATTTTTGTATAACACCTAAACAGGCCTGGCATTTCAAATTAACTCATTAATAATTTGCACAGAGAATATACATAGCATCCTGAAAGAACAGCAATGTTTCCTGCTGTTACGTCCTATTCTATTGTTTGTTAGATTTATATTCCACTTTTCCTCCAAAGTTCAAAAGATGGGATCTAATTTATGCACAGAACAGCAAATTTATTCACCCAAAGTTGCCCAATAAGTTTCAATTAGTAAGATTAGACATCAACCTCAGCCTCCCTGACTCTAGTCCAATACCCAACCACTGTACTACACTGACATACAGTAGTGGTTTTGAAACCTTATTTCCTTCCTACACCATAGATTTGTGACTGTTTGGCTGTTTGGCATTGTAGAATGGGCTCAAGGATTTAAGATTCTTCCAGTTCAAAGCTTTTCAAAAGCTGTTCTGTTCAGATTCAGAACTTCAGTCCTGTTGTTCCTCTTTGGGGAATAATTTTAGATTATTCTATTTTATTTAAGAAACTACAATAATATTATAGAAGTTTATAAAAAGTTAAGAACAAATGGGTTGACTTCCCTGAGCAGGGGGTTGGATTAGAGAACCTCCAAGGTCCCTTTCAACTCTGTTATTCTGTTCTGTTATTATGACCCATTTTTGATTTTTTTTTCTTAGTGCATATTTTAAAGCTTTATAATCTTAGGCATCAATATAACTCATCATCATTCTTGCAGCATAAAATTGAACATGTGAGACATGTTGTCTTAATTATTAGTATAATATGATGAAATATTTTAAAATTTTAAAATTAATGTTACAGATGTATTATGAAGATATGCATCACTGAAAATTTCATACAAAGGCAAGGAAAATCTACCTAGGCTTCAATTTTCTACCTGCAGATTTAAAATAAATCCAATGAACTTATTTCCATGTCTCTGTTCATCTGTGTGATTTTTTTTTCTTTTTTAATTCTGTATGATAATTTGACAGATAAAAATCAGCATATTTTAATAATATGAAAAGTTACCTAAGGATCTTTGGAAATAAATCATTTTATTCTCATCTGAAGCTGTTACATTATAATGAAGCTTAATTTTTTCCCCTCTCCTACTCCACCATTAGCTAGTTAATAGCAACATTTCGTGTCTGTGTATGAATCACTAACTGCTTGTGTTTCCCTCATTTCTTCTATATGAGCACTTGTTTTAAAGAAACTTCATTTATCTAAATTAAGACATATAAATTTATGGAAAGTCTGACTTCCCTAAAATTCAATGACGGTGTTTTCAGTGCATTACAGAGTGATCATGCATATTGCATAACATTATCTGCTATTCCTCAACTAATCCCGGAGCTGTTCCCTTCCAATATTTATATTCTACTCTCAAAGTTTCTAGCCAACACTGAAAAAGAAACTGCCTATAGATTATCAACATGGAGAATAGTGTTATACAGCATAAAAATAAATGCTGACAAGTTATGATCCTACTTAAGTTACAAATTGAACAAGCATCTTCAGAAGCATTCAATTAAGAGCAATTCCTGCTTTTTACAAACCAAGAAACTGCGAGTGAAATTGAGAGTGCTGCAACAAGTTAGGTTCTTAAAACACAATTAAATGTAGTAGCTAGTTCTGAAAATGTATCAGTTTGAACAAAATAGGAATATCATTTATTTTAAAACTTCCTGATGTACAGTATATGTTTCCATTGGAACCAGCAGCAGTGAAAGTGTTGCTTGTACAGCCAAAAGTTGATTATATCTCCAGTTATTGAATCAGATATAAAATAGAATAACAGAGTTGGAAGGGACCTTGGAGGTCTTCTAGTCCAACCCTCTATTTATGCAGGAAACCCTACACCACGTCAGACAAATGGTTATCCAACATCTTCTTTAAAACTTCCAGTGTTGGATTATTCACAATTTCTGGAGGCAAGTTGTTCCACTGATTAATTGTTCTAACTGTCAGATAATTTCTCCTTAGTTCTAAGTTGCCTCTCTCTTTGATTAGTTTCCACCCATTTCTTCTTCTCCTACCCTCAGGTGCTTTGGAGAATAGCTAAACTCCCTTTTCTTTGTGGCAACCCCTGAGATATTGGAACACTGCTATCATGTTTCCCCTAGTCCTTCTTTTCATTAAACAAGACATACCCAATTCCTAAAACCATTCTTCATATGGTTTAGCTTCCAGTCCCTTAATCATCTTTGTTGCTCTTCTCTGCACTCTTTCTAGAGTCTCCACATCTTTTCTACATTGTGGCAACCAAAACTGAATGCAGTATTCCAAGTGTGGCCTTACCAAGGCCTTATAAAGTGGTATTAATACTTCACGTGATCTTGATTCTATCCCTCTGTTTATGCAGCCTAGAACTGTGTTGGCTTTTTGGCAGCTGCTGCACACTGCAACAACAAAGT